GAAGGTGCGATTAACATACCAATGAAACCATTACTAACACCACATTTTATCATTTGTCAAAAGTCTTTCTAAATGTATTGCACCAGCATGTATTCGTCCTTAGTGGAGGGAAACTATTAGTGGTTAATTGGTTAATAAATTTAGCGGACGAAAGTTGTTTCAATCTTTTTTCAGTTGGTGGATTCATAGGAAAACTGGAAAAGATGAATCTTTCTTTAAAGGAAAAGGTCGGTGAATCTCTTTAGAATCATACTTTCATTACCAATTTACCAGCCGTGAATACCCCAACAACCCAAACTTGTACGGAGTAATGGACTCGAGTATCGAGATTCTTGATTCTTCATAAGTTCATATAGGGGTGGGATCGGGATCGATTGCCCAAATCCCGAATATTCATTTTGGGACAAATGCCGAATAATTTTAGAAGTTTAATATTGTAAGATATTCGTAGTAAAAGATTAATATATATAAGGAATAAGTAATTAAAAAGATATGAAATTATTTAGATACATATTCATTTTTTTTATAAATGTATATTCATTTTTTATATATTCATATATAATTCTATGTGTGTGTGTGTATAATGTCAAGATGTCGGGATTTTCCCAATCCCGATTTTTTTAAAAAAAATCCCGGTCCCGTCCCGACTTAGTCGGGATCGGGAAAAATTCCCGACTAGTCGGGATCGGGATTGTCGGGATCGGGATTATCGGGATCGGGAGTCGGGAGTTTTTTTACTAGTACTACTTATAATCTATGAAGCACGGATACTTCACTCGGGTGCTGTATCGGCGTATCGGAAACGTTCCCGTATCCGATACTCTAAGATACCTGTAGCCTATGTTCCTAGGCCGTATCTGCAATTTTTAAAAGTTTCCGATCCATTTTTTTGCTAATTATTTTAAAATTTCCGATACTCGTATCCTAACGGATACATGTATCAACTTTTAAAAAAATACTTCCAAAAAAAACCATTCTAAAAAAACACTCAAAATTTACATAATAAAATGTTTAAAAAATGAAAAAATAAAAATAATTTTTACCTTGCTTTTATGTGGTACACAACTAATGGGTATATTCCTAATTCACTCATCTTCCTATCCCTAATTGTAATTATCCCTGGAAATTAATAGCTCCAACGGAAATATGTATTAGAACTTTTTAAATATTGTTTTCTATCTTCATTATTCTAGAACTTTGAGTACTTGTATTTTTATTTTCAAAATTGTAGTTGTTTGACTTATTTCTCATTTTAAATTAATAATTTATTGACTATATTTATATTTCGAGATGCACTAGCGTATATGAGATAATATATGAATTTATTTCTAATTAAGTATCTTGAAAATGTAAAATGCTTCAATGTTGTGAATGTTAGACGTCACATGATAATATATATATATATATATATATATATATATATATATATATATATATATATATATATATATGTATTTTCAATAAAAAAATGGTATTTCTAATATTTATAAATACACCCCTATAACTTTTAAAATTTATAAGTACACCCCCATAACACCGTATATGGAATCAGGGGCGTATCCAGGGTGGGGGAAGGGGGGCAGCTGCCCCCATTCAACCCCACCCAACACCTATATATGTATTCAATTTAAATTGTATATATATTTTTGTGTTAAATAGAGGAATCATATACAACAAATATCAGATATATATAGCTAATTAGCTACATGCGTCTGTGGTCGAGTGGAAATAAGTGCACGAAGTAGTAGTCCCTCCTTATATATGCGTCTGTTGCTTCTTTTTAATTTTTGGTTGCTTTACCCTTGTGAGGCCTTATACAAATTCTAAGGAGTTTCACATTATTCTTTTTAACTTTTTCTTTGTTAAGGAGATCTAAACTACATTAATATAGTTATATAGTTATCATTCTAGCTTCACATATGAAATGATTTTGTATAAACTAATATTTTTATTATACTTGTGAATTTTCAATTTTAATTCATTCCAAATACATGCTTGATCCTTCCATTAGTTGATTCATTTATAAATATCGTGTGATAGAATTATTTCTAACAAAGTGAAATTTAATTAAAAAATGATTTCATAATGTTTTTGACTAGAGAATATTTTGTTATTTATAATTGATTTTACACTTTTTCTTAATTTGATTAGCTAGTCTAATTTTTCTAGTGATTTTTTTCTTTTTAATTTAAGGTATATTCGCCCCCACTGACGTATTTATCTGGATACGCCACTGTATGGAATTGATGACAAATTGCTAAGATCCGAGGTTCCATCCTAAAAGGTCAACCTGATAGGAGGAGTATCCCATGTCTTAATATAGCACTTTGTTGGTTCAAACTTTTCCGGAGTAGGATTCCAACACCCCTCCTCACAACCAGACACTTCATCGGGATCGTTCCATCATTCATTTTTTCCCCCACTGGTTCGTCATTGTCATTTTTTCATAATCGTGTCGTCATTTTTCGTAAGGGGACCCACACCATGGATCGATTTGGCTCTGATACCATGTTAAGATCTGAGGTTCCATCCTAAAAGGTCAACCTGATAGGAGGAGTAATCCAGATTCTTAATATAGGACTTAATTTCTTCACACGTTTCGAGTGTGGGAATTCATCACCCCTCCTCACGACCAGACACTTCGTCTCGATCGTGTCGCCATTCATTTTTTTATCGATTCGTCATAGTCAATTAATTTTTTTATAATCACGTCATCATATTTCATAAGGGGCCTCATACCATGGGTTGGTTTGGCTCTAATTCCATGTTAAGATCTGAGGTTCCATTCTAAAAGGTTAACTTGATAGGAGGAGTAATCCAGATCTTAATATAGCATTTAATTTCTTCACACGTTTCAGGTGTGGGATTCCTCACAAGTTTTTAAAAGTTTATCTCATGATCGAATTATGCAAGCTTTGCAAATTAAAACACGATTTTATCATTTTATGATAAATAAAATAAAGAGACTCTACCATAGCTAGTACTGATATGCTACGTACAAGATAAACCTACAAAATACTATCTTAAAATAGACCGAGAAAACATATTATGGTGGCCCTGGTGGGCAACTTACAACTATTTTAAAAACATTTATTAACATAAACATCGACTAAAGGAAGCGAAAGTTCAAAAAATAGAGTTTTTTCATGACTAATTCTTCTATGAGTTCTATCGTACTGCCTCCGTAATTTAAAAACCTTCCCATTTCAAAAGTAGGTAGATTAAGAATAGTGAAAGGAGATATGAATTAATGAGGGTATGATGGGAAGATAGTGGAATAATGTGATGGAATGTAGGATAAATCCAAAAAAGTAGTTGTAATAGTGTATTATTTTTAGAATTATTGAGAGTATGATGGGAAGATTTAGAAGTGGGAAGATTTTTTTGTTACCGACAAAAAAGAAAAGTGAGAAGATTTTTTTTGTTACGGAGGAAGTAACTATTAATTTACCAAAAAAAATACTCCGTATACTAGTAAAAAAATATAAAACTTTTTTTAAAGGAGAAACTGAGTTGAACTAATAAATTATTAGAGCTTCATCTAGAAATTTTATTCTTCGTACGCTCAAAGTATTTATTAGTAGGGGTGGGAAAAACCAAACCGAGACCCGAAAACCGACCCGGGCTCAGACCGAAAATTTTTGCCGGGCCGGGTTTTTTTAAATTTTGGCGGGCCGGGTAAAAAAACCCGGACCGAACCCGAAATTTCGGGCCCAAATCCGGTCCCTAAAATTTACAAACCGGACCGGACCGGCCAAAACCCAACCCGAATATTTCATTATAATTTATTATAAAATATTAAGTATATGTAAATAATATATCAGAAAGCCAACCGTCCCAATAGTTTCGGCATCTCCATCAGCTGATTGGGAATTAGGGAGAGAACATAGAAGTCTAAGGGACAAATATGGGATGCGATTTAGAATTCCGCAGAGGTAAATTTATGGATTTTTCATGTTTCCAAGGAGTAATCAATCATACAAAAGCTATTCTTCCACACTCCAGAGTTATAGCCTTTGAATTATTAATGTTTTAGTACCATACTTTTTTGTGTTTGAAATTGGAAACTTTGTTGCTTATAGCCTTTGAATTATTGATTCAATAGTTTTGCTTTGGCTAATGGCTATAATAGAAAGTGCGAAGGTTGAATTAATTTGATTGATTATGGGTTTTTTTATAATTTTTTTCAATAAAAACAGTGATAAATTTTTTATTGGGCTTTAACCGACCCTACCAGAACCCGGACCGAACCCGAGCTTCAAAAAACCCGGCTCGGACCGAATATGTTGGGTTTTTTTTTCGGTCCTAGTTTTTCATAACCCGAGAAGTTTCGGGTAATTTCCGGGTAGAGCAAAAACCCGACCCAGCCCGGACCATCCCACCCCTATTTATTAGAGCTTCATCTGTTTTTTTTATATCTATTTAGATAATAAATTCTTCTAAATGAATCTTCGTAAATTAGTACGTACTACCTCCGTCCCGAATTGATTTGCAAATTTGACTTTTCTTGGTCAAACAGTTGCGTTTTGTTCACTTAATTAGGATGCCAAATTTTAATTATATTCCAATTTGGAGTTTACAACTTTGAAGAGATTTTGATGTAGTTTATGAATATGTAAATTTTATTTATTAAAAATTAAATTAATTATGCGTAAGGAGGGTTGACTTTTATTATGGGTTGACTAGAAAATGTTGACTTTGCAAAACAAATTGGGACGGATGGAGTAGTATCTATTCATGATTTTTATTAGTAGCTATTAATAATTTTTTAGTAGAAGAACTCATTAGAATTTTTTTAGGGCTTCATCGAGAAGACTTTATTAGAGGTTCATCTAAAAAATTATAAGACTTGTTTTAAATTATTATGTCTTCTAATACTAGTAGATCAGAATATATTAATACTAGCATTAACTTAAGTATATTAACGATCAAAGTGATATGAAATCAAAGCAGCCAATAAATAAAGTAAACGATAAGGTAAGATAGAATAATTGAACTAAGAGTCTAACACATACGTAGAAATCGTTCATTATTTCTTATTCTTTCATATATACGTAGTACGTAGTATCAATTACTCGTATCATAGTGTATTAAATACGTACATAAATTGTAACATAGATTTATCTTATACATGTATATGAGTGGCGGTGGGGTAAATCCAAGGTATCAAGGTTGAGGGAATGAGGCATCAACTAGGGCATGCATTTAGGTTTAATGATTGGCCGGAGGTGAAGTAGCGGTGGGAGGAACTCCGTGACCCTGGCCGGGACTTGGGTGACTTTCCTCGAAGATGGTATAGTTAGAGGGCAGCGACGACGGCAGTTCATCAGCGGAGGCTGCCGCAGCTCCGGGAGGTGCAGCTCCGGGAGGATTATGGTGACCAATGCTGGGACTTGGGACACTTTTGAAGACGGTATAGTTAGAGGAGAGCGACTGCGCCCTAATTCCCTCACTGCTCTGAACACCAAAACAGAAAAGAAATGCCAAAATGAGAACGCCGCCACATGATGCGGCGGTCAACGTGAGCTTATTCATCGGAGCCATCTAATTAATTGCTTAAATATAAATATGTTTAATTTATTTGCTCTTAACTTACTTACATAATAAAATAACTTATGGCCGGTTGTAAGGATTTATAGCAGCAGCTGATTCATTCTCCCCAGCCCAAACATCATTATCAATCACCTGTTTATATGCGCAGCTAAGTGAGCTAACTATGAGCTCGTAACACTAAAATTGTCTGAATTGGCTGATTCTGGCTGAAGTGGTTGTATTGGCTGATTCTGCTGATTCACGAAAAAATTATATTTAAAATATTTGTTATTAATAAATTAAACAAAAAAATATATGAAAAAATAGCAAAAAAGATCCTTTACAGTAACTTCATCCAATACAGCCAAAAAAGTAACTACAACCTTACTTTTTCTGCTTAGTACAAAATGGGGTACCATACCTACCATTCACTTGATTGGTCCAAATAGGAATATTATTTTTAATTTAGACTTAAATAATTCAACTGCAACATTCTCATTTGTCCATGTGGACAAAGGTATGGTACCTTTTGGGTACCATAGAATCTACGTATTACGATAGTACTACGTATTAAAGACTAGTGTTGGGTGCATTATACTGTTATACTCGTATATATGAGTGCAAAGTCCCCTCAAGTTTTATTGTGGTATATGACCACTGAGCTGCTGAGCAACACGTTATCACGCTGACACGCTCCTATCTACATTAATAGAGTTAATTACCTAAATAAATGAAAAAGTACTCCAAGAGCACAAATATGACTATGAATGTTTTCTTTTGTACTGAAATTTGCTGGTCTGGTCTGGTTTGATCTGGTCTGGTCTGGTCTGATCTGATCTGATCTGGTCAGGTCAGGTTTGGTCTGGTAAACGTATAGTCTTTGTGTATTTTATAACTACGGAAGTCTGGTCTGGTCTGTTCTGATCTGGTCTGGTCTAGTCTGATCTGGTCTAGTCTGGTCTGGTCTGGTACTGAAAACAGTCTAGAAGAAAACATCCTATATGTTCTTAATCTCCCCTGTAGGACTATTTATGTGAGGTCCCGGGTTCGAAAACTCACTCTCCCTTATGGGAGGTCCCGGGTTCGAAACTCAATAGAGTGAGTTTTAGCCCAGTTTACTCCATGCTTCCCCAGACCCCCTCCCCCCCAGAAGCCCCCTGGAGTAAAAAAAAAGGACAAATATATTCTAGTAACTTTTGAAATGTCTTAATTAATAATAAAATCATAAAACAATTAGATAAAACGTCAAAAATATTAATTATTTAAAATATGTATAAAATAAAAAATTTAAAAAAATAAATTAAAATTTAAAAAACAAAAAACGCCGCTGCCTCAGCTCAGCCACCCCCTGCTCCCATTCTCTGTTTGAAATCTGCCAACATTTTAGTAATGCCATAACAATGACAGATTCAATGAGAATTTTGGAATTATGAACAGTAATAATGTCATTTTCTTGGCATTTTCCGGAAAAAATGGCATTTGTTTTTACAAAAAATGACAGAATTTTCACCGATCGGATGTGGTGGTGCTGGGAGGTGGTGGGAAGGTGTCCATATTTTTTTATTTTGTTTTATGAGTTTTTACTATTTTTTTTTTAATTAAAAAAAATAAAAAACTAATTTTTTTATAAATTTTTTTTTTAAAGATATTTTAATATTGAAATAATTACATATGTATGATTACAATTAAGATTATTTACAAATATATAACTAGTGATTAGAGTAGTGATGAGATCACAGTAACTCATGTTCAATTTTTTAATGTAAGTTACTATGAGAATACTTTGGAGTAACTATTAGTCATATTTGTGTAAATGAGTTTTATTTTAGTAATATGAAAAAAAAACCTTTAATATTTTGCATGATTTTTTTTTTGAGATTATATTATGAATTAAAACATTTGATTATGAATTAATACTCTTAGAGGCATTTCTGGTAGGAATCAATGTTTAATCCTATTTGGGAGAGTATAAAAGGTAGTAGTTCTATTTGTGCATTTTACGAATTTTTTAGTTAATTACAATAAAACTTTTCAATGTTAGGAGTGAACAAGTCCTAATTTCAATTTTGGAGCGCATGGAGAATCAATTCTAAAACCTCTTGCTATATCAAAATACTTAATTTTGGAGTTAGGAAAGATTAGTCATAATTATGCGCGCGGATTTACAAATACCCTTGTGAAGGCATTTATCATTTGTCAAAGGACTTTCTTAATTAATCAATTGCACCATTGGATATTAGTGGAAGAAAGATGCTAAATATAGGAAAAGATGAATCTCTTTATTGCCTACCGTGAATACTAACTTGTAGGGAGTAATAAACCGTGGAGATCAAAAAGTTTTCATAAATCATACTCTTTTTTACCGGTTAGTGGATTTAGTGGGAAAAATTTGTTTGTCTTTTTTCAGTTGGTGGATTCTTAGCAAAAGGCCGGTGAATTGAATCTCTTTAGAATCATTCTTAATTTCGTTGCCTACCGTGAATACCAACTCCACAAACTTGAACGGAGTAAAGGACTCTCAACAGTCATTCATTGCATGCATATGCCTACAAACTAAGCATTTGTCTTTAGCCGAAATATAATATTAGTGGTTAGGACAAAATAATACCTGCCGTTCTATTTTTTTAGTGGATGTAGAATTGTTCAAAAGTTACATTGGAAGAGTTTTTGGTATTCTTAAGTTTGAGTGGAAGATATTACACAACAAGCCGGAGAATTCCTTATAGATCAAAATAGGATAATTTGTTTTAATATTGTTTTGCAATCGATAACTACATAAAAAAAACTACTTCTGATCCAATTTTTAACTTCATTGATGAAAATGCTGAATTCATGCTCAAAGTTGTTTATGATGTCCGAAGTAATTCTCCATGCCCCGATGATGAGAATACAAATTAATACAAATTAAATGAGTGTAAATTATACTGTGAGATAAGTACACCATGATTAGAATGTACCAATCTAAGTATGGCATGGTTTTATCAATTAAAGAGGATAGAAGATAACTCCTCTTCTTCTCCAGGCCAATCATCTATTTAATTGATTCGTTTAAATGTATGGAGATATTGGACATATATCTTGTGCTCATAGATATTTGGCTCTAATTAAATTATGATGTTCGGTAAGATTTTTCTGTACAGGCACAAGTGTTTATCCTACATTCCTACCACTTCATATTTGTCTACATACATATTGTTTGTGTACTAAAGCATTTCCCTAGAAATATAATTTGTTGGCGTAAATAACGTGTCTCAATGAATACATTTGTGACAAGAGAGTTACACACACAAATTTAATTTATATTTTTAAGATTTGTCTTCTTATATATGTCCATACAAAGTGTCACTATTTGTGGGCTAAAATCTTTTGCTTCAAGCTTTCCCCTACAAATATGTCCACAAATTAGATTTGTTGGGAAAGAATTGAGACTACAAAAAATGACCTTTGCATACAAAGATAACATGTAGGAAAAACGTAAATATGTTGTAGTGACCTGCACACATCTAGGATCTAACTACTAACTTACTACGTAGTTTATATTACCTCAAGCTATATTTATGAATATTGAATGTTGTGCTATTTACTGAATTCATTTTGGTTGCTCATATAATCGTCAATAGTCATTTAAATGCTATGCCTTAAGTTATTGGTTTAGTGGGTCTTGGAGTGGCTTTATGCATTTGCCATTTCGTGATGAGCATTGACTATCCTGAATATTGGCTATTCTGCATGACATACTCTAGGATAGTGAGAAATTAGATTATTAATTTTCTTCTTAGCGGACAATGTTGTGAATAAATTACTTATACCACTCTCTACAATGTTGTGAATAAATTACTTATACCACTCTCTATGTCCCCTAAGATTGTCTTATTACTACAACATTTTGGGGTTTAGGCAACACTAATTTTTGGGATCCCATAAAACTGTTGCCTTATGTTATCATAGACTACATTTTTTAATAATGTTTTAAATGTATTACTAAAAAACTATTCTCAAATGCATCACTAAGTATTTATTTTTTAAAATGCATCACTAAAAAACTGTTCTCAAATCCCATAAATTACATTTTTAATCATAGAATTTTTAATAATGTTGCGGAAATACATAAGTATTTATTTTTTTAAATGCATCACTAAAAAACTGTTCTCAAAATATATTTAGAAACGGTTTGTTTTTTATTAGGGCTTTGACCCACACTTCAAATTGGTTGCGATATACTCCTGTATGTTGTTTTTTACGTAAAACTGTTCTCTTTACTGATTACTTTTTCGGCCCCAAGTAGTTATCTTAGTTCGAGCACAAAATTTTAAAACTAAAAAATAGACGGTTTAGGGCGCAAGAAATTATGAGCAAAAAATTGTTAAGAGAAAATGTAAGAAATTTCATTCATAGACAAAGCAGTCGTTTTCCCAAACTTTACTGATTCTTCTACTACATGATAGAGTCATAGATTTGAAACGGTTCTAGAAGGACTGCAATGCAAATACTTTAAAATTAGATTTACATTAGTCGCCGTGTTTATTTGGGAACAATACTCTTCATTTGTCTTAAAAGTCCATGTGTACTAATATTATTTGTCTAGGTAAGCAAGTGTTCCGTACCCTGAAAATGGGTAGATGCACGGTAGAAAGGGTGATAATTCTGGTACCTTTTTAAAAAAACGGGGGTACCGTACCTATCATTCATTTGATTGAACCACATTACTCTATCATTTTTAATTTAGATTTAAATAATTCAACTGCTACATTCTCTTTGATCCATGTGGAAAAAGGTATGGTATCTTATGGGTACCATATAATCTATCCGTAGAATTGAAAGACCCAAATAACTATCCATTGTTTTGTAGATAGTGGAAGAATACAAATTTTTGACGATGGTCCACATATGCTGGCCGAAAATTTCTAAACGAGGGGCACAAGTAGGGTTGTAAACGAATCGAATCGAGTCGAATAATGAGATTTTGTATTTGTATTTGTTTAATTTTTTCGAATACGAATTAGAATTCGAATATGAAACAAATATTAATTTCGATTTGTATTTGTATTTGTTTGACAATACAAATAGTTAACGAATC